ACCGTCGTCTAGCGCCTTGCCACCACCTCCGCTGGCACGACTGCCAGCAGCCAGCAGAAGGGGTGGAGAGAAGGAGGTGACTTGGTTGAGCCAGCGGTGGATCAACTCATCCAACGCACTTGATCCATCCGAGGATCCACCGGCGAGACCGGAACGCAGGGCGGCCGCCTGAATCAGAGCCAGTACGTCCTCCGCTGAACTCTCGGGATCGGAAGTGACTTGCGAAGACACACCGAGGAACTTAAACACTTCCCGAAACTCGCGAGAGGTATCGGAGGGCTGTACAGGGAGAATGCAGTGAGTAAGATAAACAAGTCCATTTAAAGCATTTTTTCCCGGATATAAAATTGAAGCAGGCCAAAACAGCAGTATTTGCGCAAATAAATTTCGAGAGAGCTTATCAACTGCTTCATCTCTGTACATAAATAACGAAACAATTAGAAAACACATCATTTTGAATTTTCACAAAATCGATAATAGCAAGGTTGTGTTAACGTGGCAAATGGTCAATAGTTATGTCAACTTTAGACTCGGGACGAAATGTATGTGATATGTATTTACCAGGACAACTGAAGATTAACTACATGGTCTAGTTGCTTACATAGGTCGGGTTTCTCCCGCCGTATGTCGGATGCTTTCATGTAACGTAAGGTCCGATTTGTTCGTGCTCGAACAAGAATGCGGAAACATGTGTTGGTGTCAACGGAGTGAGTAAATGTTTTGTAATGGATGACCGTAGTACTTTATTTTCTTATTTTAAAAGCCAAGCAGGAAATGTTCAGCAGCCCTGGTCACGAATTGCCTTTGCGTACGGCCAACGTGCTTGCATCCGCAAGTGCAGGTGAATTTTATAAACGCAGTTTGAGGTGGCATACAAAGGCAAGGCTTCCTTTGGCCGGTTAATTGGGAGGCGTATAGTTGGAGTGGGGAAAACAAGTTCGGCCGCATAGTACGTTCTGTGTATTTTTTTTGGAACGAGGTATTCTTCGCTTAATTGTCTTTGAGATGTTGTCTCCCTTAAAGGGTAAAGATATAAAAACGGGCTTTCTCGGGACCGACTGGTCCGTAGATTTTGCACAGAGAGGACGTAGTTGATAAGCTTTCTCGAAATTTATCTGCGCAAATAAGTTCTGCTGTTTTGGCCTGCTACAAAAATAAGTCCAGTTGTTGGAAATATTTATTCTGTAAAAATTATTGGAGCGTTTGTGCGTATATGAAAGGCAGCAAAACAGGGGTACTTCTCGTTGATTTTTGGACGTGATCACTGACTCCATTAATTTTGCTGCCCTAGGGTTTTGACAAAACACGTAAAAGAAATGAAAGTCTGAATTACACAAAAGTCACAAAATAAGTCGGCATAGCAACTGCAACGAAATAATTCTAGGTCAGATCATACACCTAAGTAGGTTTATTTATCTTACTAGTCACGGTAAAAGACAAACGCTAACAAAACGAACAGGAGTACAGCCGACGTCATGGCTTCTAAGCAAGAGACGCGAGCTCCTACCGTCTTGGGCCTAGTCAAGACCTTATAAATTATGTAAGCTAACCCAATTGTGCGAAAGCCCGGGGACCTCAGTGGAATTCGAATTCATGACAGAAAACGTTGAGTACAGCTAACATTAACTGCCTGGTCCCGTACGGAACCTTGCGTTTTTTCCTCACATTTGGACTAATTTACCCCCC